TCATTTATAGGCAGTTTGTTCACTATGAGCTCAGCAGTCCTTAATACCATCTATAGATGAATAAGAATGAACACTAGTGATGTTATATCATCAACACCATCACCATATAAAGGCTATCTAAGCATGAATTCATAGTTTGTACTAAGGAAATGCCCAAATTAAAAGGATTTCCTACAATTACTATGCTTACAAATAAAATGCTTTTATATTATACAAAGTTATAACAAGAGTAGATGATAGTTGGTTATAACTATTGCTATTATTTAAATATCACTAGCATTTAACATAGATACATGGTACAAGTATACATTTCTATAATACCTCAGCAGCATTAACCACACTGGTATTTATTCCTCTACTGATTATAGTGTCAAGCAATACAATACTTTGCTCTGGTGTAAACTGAGTCAGCTGTTCAGAGAGGCTCTGGAGAGCACCATTGGATGATCCATTGACCTTTAAAGAAACAAATACATGCATCATTCATGATAAATTTGATAATAGTCATAGATATTAGAGTTAAAAGAAAAGGAATAGGAAACCACGGAATTATCACAGGCATATAATGCGTATCAATTTTTGTTTGTTCTTAGTCAAAATTTGAAATTGAACTGATTCAGCCTATAATGTATAACATATAGTCACAATACTAAAATCAAGTTTACAATACGATGCTAGACTATCTTACTCTCAATTTTTATCAAAAGTGTGGTGATTTAACTTTTTTGAGGCATGCTTTCTGCTAATGTAGTAATTGAAAATCCACCTTAATACACTTTTCATAATAATATACTGTACATGTACATATTAGATTGTGTGTATTAGAATATGCATAAAATGTACATGCACACTCCTCCAAAAATATGTGCCATATGAGTGTATGCATACATGTACATGAGTGGTTAATCATTCTTTAGCACATCATTACACATCATTAATTGCTTACTGGTAAAATGGCAAAATGTGCAAAATGATTACAGTGACAAGTTACACTCTGTTGATCCACTGATGCTACATTACATCCTTCATTGTCCCAGAAGCCACTAGGCAACGAATCATTTGAACTATAAAATGCAATCAATCATCTCTTTAATGAGCAGAAAATTACAAAACACTCACAGTTCAATGTTCCAAAAAACACAGGAAATAGCTGAAGACAATATCTGGACAAAAAACACATAACTTACATTATTTTTTATTTATTATAAGCTTACCGGTTGAGTATGTTCTGATAAAATGAATGATATGACCACTGGCTCTGTCAGCGCATTGGTAATACAAGCACCATTACAATCAACAGCAGCAGATATGACTGGTGATATAAGCTTTCGGCCATCAGAAGGTGAAAGGATTGATGATAAGTTACTGTACACAAAAGATGCTACTGTTGCTGGTAGAGAGTTATTAAATATCATAGCTGGTAAGCTTAAACTGTTGCCTTTGTAATTCAATACAGTTAGCCTTTCACCAGAAAAAGATTCATTCCGAGTCACATTGAGAACTATTATATTGCATATTATAGAGAATGTATTAGTATAATGCATTAAATCACTCACAAGTATTTCCATAATCAAAAGAATTGCTTTGAGCTACTTTAAGAGCAAAGGTATCCAATGATAAAAGGAATTGAGTGGCAACTGAAAGCTTGACTGTCACTGTCTGTCAGTGTATGATAAAATAAATACTATAACTAAGGAAGCCATACCTCATTTACATGCAGTTCATCTATTATGAGTTCAGCAGTTCTTAATACCATCTATAGATGAATATGAATTAGCACTAGTGACATTATGTTTATACCATAACCATCAACACCATATAAGGCTATCTATAATCACACTGAGCTGACTGAAGCATGAATTCATAGTATGTACTAATGAAATGCCCAAATTAAGAAGGGCTTACTAGAATTACTGTGTGTACAAATAAAATGCTTTTTATATTATACAAAGGTATGATTATTGCTGTGTACTCACAATAATTATTTGAATATCACTAGACATAAATACAAAACATAAGTATAATATTATTTTTATAATACCTCAGTAGCATTAACCAGACTGGTATTTATTCCTTTACTGATTATATTGTCAAGCAATTCAATACTTTGTTCTGGTGTAAACTCAGTCAGCTGTTCAGAGAGGCTCTGGAGAGCACCATTGGCTGATTGATTAATCTTTAAAAAAATTGATAATATTCATAAATATTAAGAGTTAAACAAAAAGGGATAGGAAACAATGGAAATTATCACAAGGAATATAATGCGTATCCTAGCAAACAATCTGGTACATCAATGGCGCAAAATATTTTGATTACAAAAATGGAGGAGCATTGCAGGGTTTGTTATAACAGTAAAAGCACAATTGATTTTAAACATTATATAGCTTATTTGCAGAGTTTATCTTGATACCCATAATGTAAGTTGTGTCAACGGTAGTTTCCTATCCCTTTCCTTTAATCCTTATCCCTTTCTTTTATGTTGCATGAACTTGTAGTCAACTTCATGCAACATGTTGGAAAACCACATCAAAGGTACTGGCAACAAAGTAGCCTAATGCATGCCCACCTTAACTCTCATACTATATATAAATAGTTACCATTGAGATAATGCCACTAAACTGTGTATCATAGTTGCATACAGGTTCATTAAGTTGACCACACTGACTGCAAGAGCTTGTTTCTAAAAGAATTGAGAAAATATTATGAGAATGATATATCACATTACTAACCAGTAAACAGTCCTTTGTTGCAAGTGCCAGTAATCAAACTTTTACCAGGTAAGCATTGTAAGAGAGGTGGAGCAGTGATTGTATAGTTTTCAGGACAACTCCTTTGACCATCAAAACATTGATCCAGATCATTAGGTAACCGTGGTGGATTTATCATGAATGGATTGCAACCACAGGTAGAGTTCAATACAGAAACAGACTCATTATTGATCCTAATAATAGGACTAGACAATGACAATGACAATTCAGAGCACTGTTTTACTGGCACAGCATATGTAGAGTTGGAAACTTTGACTGATATTACATTTACAACTTGACCACAAATGGGCAACAAAGAGTCAGCACTTGTAAAGTGAAATATAACATCATCAGGTTGACAGATAGAAAAGGAATAAGAAGACGAAGAATGCGGGATTAAGCTGGAGCCCAGATTAATTCTTGGACACAATGAATAGCCACTACTGGATTCAATCCATATGTTAATGAAGACACCAGTCACACTAATGCAGTTTGTAGGTCTGGAGAGATTAAATGATAGAGTAGCAACAGGCTCCTTACTAACAGTAACTGGAATGACTATAACAGATAGCAAAAGGAGCAGAAAGAAAAAGAAAGATGACACTAATCGCGACATGACTGAACTCAACGGCCTTGTCTTGTTGTTTGGGATGTTTTTGTAGAATTATTTGGACAGGAAGTGGAAACAGATGATGTAGCTATTTGGACAATGGCCAAACCGTGCCCCTGTGGTCGTGTGCCTATACAAAGGTCACAATGGCAGAGCAAGAGAAGAATGACTATGATTCTTTCGATGCGCTTGCTTTGGACAATAACTGAAGCAGACTCTACAGCTCAATGTCAGAATGAAAGGAATCCACGAGGCCTTCAGTCGAGTCGTACTATACTGGGGAATGAGGAGTTAGAGGACTGGCCTCAATGCCCTTGAATATGGCTGTGGTCCTGTCCCTGTATACCTCTGCTCTGCTCCACGCTTTGCCTCTGAGATAGTCTTTGCAGACTTTGCCAAATCCAACTTGTAAAGGTGGGTTAGCGATACGCTGGGCTGCCCTACTACACATTTCCTTCAATAAGTGATTATCTAAGTCATCAAACAAAGTGAAACACTTAGACGGATATACAGATTACGCCACCCTAGCTTCAGCCGTTAACCAATCTAAAGTCTATGGTAAAGAGAATCGTGTTTTGTGACATTATGCAAGATATAATTGTTAAAGTCTGGCTACAAGGGACCATATGATATCATATCTTTGTCTCTGTGTTGCTGCTACACGCCCAAGAGTTGGAACATGGACCAGTCCTGATACAGGCCTGAATCATTACTGATGATCGAGCCTGGACCGAGGATTTGGGGCAATGTCCTGATCCGACATTGACGAATCAGCCACGATTTATGCTGGTGCCAGACCTGATCCGACAACGATAACGATATTCATTAAGCCTCATTATGACGTACTTCCTGTTATGCTTAATTAATACTTAATTATTATTCATTATTAATTTAAAATGATTTGGAATTATTATTAAAACAAAAAAAAGATTATAATTGTTTTCTTTATCATAGTCTACCAATGTTCCACAAGTAAGACACTTCATGTTTTGTAACTTAAGACACCTAAAGAGCCATAAACTAAGAAGGCACTAAAATAATAAACTTACATTACTGAGAAATTAATTTCCCAAAATCTCCAACATTAATGAACTCTCGGGTTCCATGTAGTGAAGCAGATCTTTCAAAGGTATCTTGTCACACATAGTCCTACAAAGCTTAGTTCCATAACATAACTATAATGAGGCATAAATTCTACATAAGCAAAGGAACACATACCTTCCTTAACCAGCATGATGAAGGCAGGTTCACAAAAAAATTCAATGCTATTTGAAGTGAACTATAATGACAAATGATGATAATAAATTAAAACACTATGATTAAACTGACCTTAACAAGAGCTTTAAACAAGAAAGTTTCAGTTCATCA